CATCTCGAGATATCCGAGTATCTTATATTACTACAAAACAAACGTGGGAATTCAGATACCCGTCTCACGGGAATCTTGGATTCCCACGAAACAAACGGTCCCTACGGGTAAGTTTGTCATTCATCTCTCCCTTTCTCTCTCCAGATCTCCTCAAATTCCAATAATTTTCTTTCTCCCTCCCCCATTTGCCACCCTTCCCCCTTCAAATTACAACAAATTCCACTAATTTTCTCTCCCATCCCATCACTCTTAATTTCCAAATATTTTTTTTCCACATTTATAAATTTCACTTTTGTCCAATAATTTTCTCTTTCCTAAAAAACTTCATTTATCCTGAACTTTCTCATTAGACTTTTTTTTCCTCCACCCATCTAAATTCTTTATTCAAGTTATCATTTATTTAAATTATTTGAAAATTGTAAAGATAGAGAGATAGTATTTGAAAACAGAGAAAAAAGTTAGAGAAAATTAGAGGGATGAAAAATTGAGACAGAGAGAAATTTGTAAATATTGAGAGATAGTATTTAAAAAGAGAGAGATTAAATTAGAGGAAATAAAAGAGATAAATCTATAATGACAAAACTCCTCATAAACTATCTGTATTGGGAATGACAAAACTGCTCTTACTCCACTTGCATCGCACGTGTTGCTCACTAATATCGAGAAAATATGCCATTCCAGATGTCAAATGATAAAAATCTATTGATTTAAAACGTCCATTTAGGATCCTAATTAAAAACTATTTTTTCACGGTTTGTTGTGTGACTAGTTCAATTCACTAACCATATATTTTTAACTTGGGTTAAAGAGTTTTACCTCACATACCTAGTATAGTTGGGTTAAATTTGGTTCGGTTAACGAGTTAGTTGTTAAGGATAAACTAGTCTTGCATATCATTGGATGTAGATTCAAAGATCTCCACGTTGCTTAATAACTACTGGATATAGATTCGAGATATTTTTGTGATCTCACAAATTTGATGATGTAACATTGTCAGTCACAACGGTCTCCTCTAATAATTTTTATTTGAAATGGACTTGTACGGGTGGCAATATTGTTTAGTTGAATGTATAACATCTCTCATTCTTGGACAAACTCCCACCCCTACTTATTGTACTATTAAAAAAGATTATTCTTTAACCAACAATGGTATAAAAAATTTTACTCCAAAATATCATCTCGGGTAAGACAAGTTTACCCTGTTTTTTGGATGGTTGATGAAGAAATAGAGTGAAGCAACCAAAACAAAATAGGAACAATAATAATTTTAAACCGAACATTCAATTTCATTAAGTAATGCCCTAAAATTTCTACAACATATATAAGAATTTTTCATAAAATACTTAGATATTGACTAATAAGTACCTATTGTTGACTGCCATTTTAAATTTGACAACTTATTATTTTTTGAAAATACCATAAAAATTATGGTTCATTTCTCCATGAGCATCTACTCAATCTAACTTCTATTTTGGAATAAAGAAGGTTAAAAAATTATTTTAAAGTCTTGAATTTGAAATACGAGAAATGATTTTAAATTTTATATCTCGTCTAAATTGAGAAATATTTAAAATGAATGTAATAAAAATTTTTATTTGTTTACATGTTTCTGATAAGGAAAAAAAGTAAAAGTTTAGTAATATAAGCTTTTAATCTTGATTTATCAGTCATGTTGAGCATAATTTAATTAAAGGGTCAAAAGTTCAAACCTTTACCGTTCAACTCTACATTAAAGGATTAATTTGAGAAAAAATTTAATAGCACCATAACATCAAAAAAATTTCCACATTCATTTTTGTCAAATTAGTAGCATTTAAAAATTTTGCGGATTCGTAGAATAAAACCATATTATTTAATGATGCGTTGAGAGGATTATGTACTCCTGTGATTACTAAAAACTTTCCTATAAATTTCACTTTTAGTATAAGTTTAACATGTCTTTTAAATGTTTAAAAAAAAACATGTCTTCTAAAAAATGTCACAGGTTTTAATTTCTAATAAATTATATATTTTATTTAAGTTGGAACGACATTTTGATGGATTCAATTTCGTATAACAATTGTTTTATCTATTATTTTATCAAATAATTTAGAGTAGACAAAATGATTTCTATTGAGACCATATAAAACTTTAGATAATTATCTTATAACAAAAATGAATGTGGAAATTCACGGAAGCTTTTTCGAATCTTTTGTCCTTTTTAATTAGTATTATTTTATTAATATATTTTAATTTAGTTTCTAATAGTTATTTAAAATTGTAATCATTTAGATTGTCTACAGATATTAATTATAATTCTTGGAATCTACTTTAGTTTCTAATAGTTAATTGAATAATTAAATTCCATTTTTATGTCAAATTTGTATTAATAGTTATAATTCTTAAAAATCATGTAATTGATATCACTCTAAACCAAACACGCTTAATTTTGGAGTCTTTATGATTGAGTCACTGAAAATGAAAGTGCACCACCTTGTTAGCTAACATAAATTCTTTTAACCTTTTGTTAACCATGCTTCCATGATCTCAAAGTCCCTTTATCTATACGAACAAGGTGCACCTTCCTTTATGGAGACTCAATCATAATTCCAGAGTTAAGCGTGTTTTGGCTGGGAGCAATCATGGATTAGGTGATGAAAGCATGCGAGTAAGGACAAAGCATGCTGAAAGGACATGTGTTGGTATGTAAAAATATAGTCTTCACCCTTGAAAGTAGATGAAGCCAGGAAGGTAGTGCAACCAAGTTGCAAAGGATGCAGGAAATGACTAGGCAATAAGGTGTCGAATCTGAATTCTAAATCTTGGGCATGAGGCGTTACAAATGATATAAGAGCGAAATCTCTCCCAATACTATGTAGTTCGGGGACGAACCAAGTGGAAGTTGGTGGAAATGTGACACCCGAGTAGAAAGGAAGGGTACATGAATGAACTAACACCACATTTGAATGAGAGAGATCCTAAGATCATGGAAGCATAATTAAGAAAGACTTAAAAGAATTGATAGTAATTACTTATACCAATAATGTGYATCTTCCTATTCGATGACTCAAAATCATAAGGACTCAAAAGTTAAGTGTAAGGATCCAAAAGACCCATGTTGGTTCGTAGGGCAATCTTCACTCTCGAAAGCAGATAAAGTCAAGAAGGTAGCACAGTCAAGTCGTAGGAGATGTAGGGAAATGTCGGGACCATCAACTCATCGATTGGTTGATTAGAAGGTATACACTTCTCCCTCCTACCGACAAAGATTATTCATTTTTTTTAATTGTCTATCTCTCACTAACATGTAAACTTGTTCCCACCAAGTCCAAATTCACATCCCTATTCTCCCTTAGATGGAAGACCAATCTTAGAAATCACACCTTTAACATCATCATTAAGTTAGGTTGGCCTGGTCTGACCAAAGACTACAGTCCCAATGTGCCTAAAACACTACTTGGCTTTGGGTTCCCTAACTTCCGATAGCAAAACCCATGGTCAAGCTCAATTCGTTATATCAAACTTAAAGTTTGAGTTAGCCATTAATAATAAATAGATGAGAGAGAAAGGGAACTAGTAGTAAAGTAATTATTGGAAAGGTGTGGAACCTACCAAATAAAGAATAAAAATAGGATTGATGAATTTGTAAGAGAGGAATGCGAACACATTTTGTTAGGGGAGAGATTCTCAAGTTTGAGGTGGATCTACCCTTTAATGTCATTCCTGAAATTTGTAAACAACAATACAATCTCTAATTCCTTGATTTCTCATTTCCTAGAAGTGAACGAGGCCTAAATTTGATTGATAAGACATTCAAAATAAAGTAAAAAGAAAATGTCTTAACTCGGTTAAAGTATCTAAACTCAAGCCAAAAAAGCAAGCCAAGTAAGATGGGAAAACCTCTCAACTTGTCTCTCAGACCACAAGATCGTAAGTTCGAATCTTCATCTCCACGTATTGTTGTACTACAAAATTCTATATCTAACTTGCTGACGGCGAATTTAGGAGAGGCCCACGTGTCCATTAGATGGGTAGGTTGTCGAAGGCAAATGAGCCTGTAACCAGAAAACTTAACTCCGGTGCGGTGCCCCGCCTAATACACTCCGACGATCAAATCAGTAATCGAAGTAAGAAAATAAGAATAGACACCTTAAGAGTTTAGTGACATATTGGTGTAGGGGCACGTCGGGCTATACGAGGCTTTGAAGGGG